AAAAACATATTACAATACAAAACACCTTAGGAATCAAGCAACAAACACCATTTACCTCAATTGCTTCTCAAAAGAAATAAGAAGTAAAAACTCCAAAACCTTAAACTTCTCTCTATTAATTCAAGCTCCTTGACTTGAATCTCAACTTTAGGGGAAGATCTAGGTGATCCTAGTGAGGTGAGAAGAAGAAATTATCTTCTTTGACTCTAAATTTTATCTATTTAAAACTTTTTTCTAGAATTTAGAGAAATGAACACATAAGGTTCATATTCTCTGAAAACTCCATACATTCCCTCATTTCTTGATCAATTTTTACCTCATCTTAACTAACTCTAAACAACTTAGCTTTCAAGGATTCCTTAACCCTTATAACTCAAACAACAACACAAAAACACAACATAACATATGACATCATAAATCAACATAACACATCATCATGCAATAAAAGCATAAAACACACAATGTTACAATTCTACCCAACAACAAAAAAAATTTTCCCCCAAAACTTGCTTACTTAGGAAGAGATATGGGTATTGATCTCTGATCTTGTCCTCCAGCTCCCATGTAGCCTCACTAGTGGCTGCATCCCAAACAACTTTAAATAGATTGATGAACTTCCCTCTCAACTCCATCAACTTTTGATCAACAACACTAATTGGTCTCTTCTCATGTGTCAAGTTTTCCTTGACCTAAACAACATCAAACTCAACCCTTTGACTAGGTTCATAAACATACTTCTTTAATTAAGCAACAAAATATACATTGTGCGGGTTTGACGAAATGGTGGTAATTATGACTGATAAGCAATAGGACCTACATGACAATGAATTTTATAATATTCAATGAACTTAAGAGTCAATTTCTTAGACTTTATTGCCCTTCTTACTCCAACATTGGGTGTCACTTTCAAAAAGACATGACCACCTTTAAAAAAAATTCAACAAATTTTCCTCTTCTATAAGCATAAGACTTATTCTGAGTGATCTTCATTCGTTCTTGAATCAACTTCACTTTCTCTATAGTTTGCAACATTAACTCTTATCCAACCACCACTATCTTATCTTCCTTATACCAACACAAGGATCCTACATCTCTTTCCATACAAAATCTCAAAAGGAGCTATGGAAAAAAGATAAATACTAGAAGGGGGTTGAATAGTGTATATCAAAAACTTGCATTTTTTACACAGTGAAGTAGTAACGCTAGTCAAATGGAGTGCAAAGAGTAGTCAAATGAAACATCAAGTATTTTCCCAATGGTTCATCTTAACCATCGAGACCATGTCTAATTCTCAATTCAACTAGATTGAGTTCTACTATCTTTCAACAATGATACAAATATTCTTTCAACAAGTCACTTCTGACTCAACCCTAAGTATTCTTTGACTTGCCTTTTCAAGCAACTATCCAAATATTCTTTTAACAACAAACATTTTCAAGCTTAACAACCAAGCCTCTTTAGGCTCAAGAAATTGTTATTTTATAGACAAGCCTCTATAGACTTAACCTTATAACAATGGTTATGAAGGTTATATAGATGTTATGCTTGTCTCACTCATCTGCTATACAACTAGTATAGTGCAATAAGCTTTTACAAGAAAGAATGGAAATTATACACAAGTATAATTTACAAAAAGCATATATTTCTGTACAAGTGTATCTTTGTGTTATGTCCCTTTTTAGTTTCATATCTTTTTATATAGTTTCTTAAAGAAGTCTAGCTCACAAGTTTGTTATATCTATATTCAATGTTTTTCCTTTAGGTGAGAGGTAACTATTGACTTATTTAATGCAAACATTAAATTTTCATCAAATGGTACCTATTATCTAATCAAGGAAACTGCTTATCATCTTTCCAAACTAAATAGAGCTCACAGAAGCAATGTCAACATAGTGCAGCGACAACAATGACCTTATTTGCTTTTCTGTGTGATTTTAGGGATCTTTTCCCTTGGTCCTAATGAAAAGCATGAACTTGTTCTTTTTAACAAATTTGTGAGTTCCAAGATAATTTTCTAGTTTAATTTGTTAAGGAATAAGATTTGAATCTTATAGATGAAAAAACATAACTAGGAGTAGATACCTAAATAAAAATGGTGTTTTGTAGATAAAAACACATAGTTGACAAAAGAGAAATTGTTAAAGGTAGTAAGTTCACGATCTTTAACAATGATTAATATATTTGTGTTTCTTAATCAAAAATCACGTTCAATTTCTAACTTAGACATAAAGTCACAATTGAAGGTTGGGTTAAGCATGAGTTCCATTGAATTGAAATTGAGACATTTTTCATTTTGATCCAATCAACTTTAATTAGTTTGAAATGATTCATTATTTTTGTTTTTCAATCTCCAATTATCCAATCCATGCACTCATATTTGAATTAGTTTAGATTAGATGATTGAATTTACTAATAAAATAACAAAAAATGAAGAAAAAAAATACATTAATCAACTTGAAAAACACATTATAATGTCATTTAATCCAACAGATAAAATGTCCAATATTACAATATTACAAATATGTTTATTAGCATCATAAAAAAATCATATTTAAAATCTATGTATTCATATTTGAATTAGTTTAAATTAAATGATTCAATTTATTAATAATATATATATATATATATATATATATTAATCAACTTGTAAAACACATTATCATCTCATCTAGTCCAATAAATAAAATGTTTTATATTACAATATTACAAATATCTTTATTAACATCATAAAAAAATCATATTTAAAATATTCAACATTACAAACTAAAAAAAAAACAAACAAATTATTAAATTAAAAATTAAATATATAGTACTCAACAAAATTTGTCAAATGCAGTCAACATCAAAAAACACATATATGTCAACTCTGCAAATCTGTTAACATTTTAAAATTTGCAAATTTTCATGCCCGAATCTGCCATCAAAGCCCAAATCTCATAGCCCAAACCTAATAAAAATAACAATAATAACAGGTTAATTATTATTATTTTTTGGTAAAGATAGGAAAAATTACAAAGATGATCGCAATGAGGATTGAACCTAGGTCTTCATGCTTCTAATTACCCCAACCCATTATCATCTCATTTAGTCCAATAGATAAAATGTTTCATATTACAATATTCCAAATATGTTTATTAACATCATAAAAAAATCATATTTAAAATATTCAACATTACAAACTTAAAAAAAAAACAAATTATTAAATTAAAAATTAAATATATAGTACTCAAAAAAATTTATCAAATGCAGTCAACATCAAAAAACACATATATGCCAACTCTGCAAAATTTTTAATATTTTAAAATTTGCAAATTTTTATGCCCGAATCTGCCATCAAAGCCCAAATCTCATATAGCCCAAACCTAATAAAAATAACAATAATAACATGTTAATTATTATTTTTTTTGGTAAAGATAGAAAAAATTATAAAGATGATCGCAATGAGGATTGAACCTAAATCCTCATGCTTTTAATTACCCCAACCCATTATCATCTCATTTAGTCTAATAGATAAAATGTTTCATATTACAATATTACAAATATCTTAATTAACATCATAAAAAAACCATATTTAAAATATTCAACATTACAAACTTAAAAAAAAACAAATTATTAAATTAAAAATTAAATATGTAGTACTCAACAAAATTTGTCAAATGCAGTCAACATCAAAAAACACATATATGCCAACTATGCAAATCTGTTAACATTTTAAAATTTGCAAATTTTCATGCCCGAATCTGCCATGAAAGCCCAAATCTCATAGCCCAAACCTAATAAAAATAACAATAATAACAGGTTAATTATTATTATTATTATTATTTTTGGTAAAGATAGGAAACATTATAAAGATGGTCGCAATGAAGATTGAACCTAGGTCCTCATGCTTCTAATTACCCCAACCCCTCCTCACCCAACCACTAGGCTAACCCTAGTGGTCTAACAAGTTAATTATTTAATTAGATATTTGAACCAAACTTATTAGATTTATAATTTTCTAATCCAATATAATCTGATAGTATGAACCATTTATATATATATACATATTTATTGGATCATTAGATTAGTTTAGGACCATACTCACCCATAATTAGAAGTACACCCATGTAACCACTAGGATTAGCCTAGTGATTGGGTGGGGAGGGATTGGGGTAGTTAAAAACATGAAGATCTAGGTTTAATTCTCATTGCGACCATCCTTGTAATCTTTTCTATCTTTACCAAAAAATAAGTACACCCATGTAAATGTTGGTGTCCGCTGTTAGGAGTTGCAAAACTTGTTCAACCACATAAAAAATGTAGGTGATAGCAGTAGTGCCAGGTATTTTGTATCTTCAAAGGTTAATAAATCACTACACCAACAACTCTCTAGAAGAGAATAGATCTATTTACTCTAAGAATAAATCTATCTAAGCTTATTTCATTTAATAATTTATATTTTACATCAAATTTTAATAATCTAACAGTTGAATTTAAAGTTCTTATTACATATATTAAATCTACAAATTTTTAAAATTTTTAAAAATTATTTAATATTTTATTTATTAATTCAAATTGACAGATAATTATAAAATCATTTTATATATTGATTTGAATTAATGAAAAAATATTAAATAATTTTTAAATTTTTAAAAAATTATAAATTTAATTTATTCATTAAAAATTTTAAATTTAATAATTATATTATTAAAATTTGATATAAAATATAAATTATTAAATAAAGTAAATTTATGTGATCCCTCTTTCAAAATAATGTCGGACAAAATTTACTCTTTACACTATATTACTATTAATATAAAATTAAATATTATACATTCATAATATATTATCGTGTCGTTGAATTACTAATTTAGTGAGTTATTCACTAACATAGAACCTTGGGTACAATTTTGATAATAACACTACTAAAGATAGTCGACCACTAAAAGAAAATTTTTAAAAAAGAAAAAAATAGAAACTATCATTGTCATTATCCTTTGTAGCCTATAAAAGGGAGAAAAAATGAAGAAAAAATAATTGGGAAGTTAACCTGCGGAAGCAAAGTTGCTTAGGCGATTTCCATTGACACGTAGTTGCGCTGCGAAGAATCCATGGAAATGATAAGCAACAAGCTTTTCTTCTTTTCAACGCTGTTTCTTCTCTACGCATTTACCAACGCCACCGACATTAAATTTTGCGGTTACTATCTTAACCCTCTCATGTGATTGAAAATTTGGTTCCTTGATTTGGGGTTCCAAGGCTGATTCTAAAGTTTTGAACTTTCCCTGGAAACTGGGTATTATATAATTGGGATTTTCTGTATGGATTTTTATTTTTTCGTGAGTAAAAATTTGTTTTTTTTGTTTTTTTTGTTTTTTTTTGTTTTTTTTGTTTTTTTTTGGTTTTGTGGCCTCAATTTTATTCAATTAGGAAACATACCGTTGGGGAGATTTTTGTGTTTATAATAGTCTGAGTTGGATGGAATTGGGTTTGATTGAATAATCAGTTGTCTGACTTGAATTAACATATTAATAATTATTTTAAGCTTAGGTAGGTTATTTTCAATTAATTTTTGTTATTTGTCTTTTAGTTGTGAAGAACTCTTTTTCTTTGATCAGTTTTATAATTTAATAATTTGCTAATGTTTTGTTGCGATATATTATTCTTCTGTTGTGCCCGTTATTGAATAAACTATGGCTTAATTTTCTATGTTAGATAAGAAAGGTGTCTATGATGTTGATGTCAAAGGAGTGGAAATATCCCCTGATCCCATCGTAAGAGGCCAGCCTGCTACGTTCAGCATCGCTGCAACTGCAGGTACTCTGTGATTCACATTTTTCTTATTGTGTCACTATGTTTGTACGTTTTTACTATTTTTAATTTTTTTATAATTTATTATATCCACCTTCATGCATATGGTGTTTCTTAATGTGCATGTGTATTGAAAGTTTCGTACTTTACTTATTTATATCTTTATTCTGTTTTAATTACATGGCTCTTGTGTGATCTAGGTAGCCGACCTCACCTAGTGGGATAACTCACCTAGTGGGATAAGGTTTTTGTTGTTGTTTGTGTTTTTGTAGATAAGTTTCTCTAGAAATATTTATAAGAGAAAAAAAATCAAAAATAAATTTCTCTATAAACTAAAATTAACTTATGCATAAGTTAAAAATAAGATTTTGAATAAGTTAATAGGAGTGAAAGCTTCTACAGAACAGCTTTTATGTATAAATTAATTTTAACTTATGAAGAATCTTATTTTATTTATTTTTTCTTCTATTTTACTCTCCTAGAAGTACTTCTGGAAAAATTTATTCAAATAGACCCTGGATTTATTTTGAATGTAGAAAGTAAGTATATTTGGGAATCTGACTGCAAGTATAGCATAGTGGTGGTATTTCGAGGTAGAGATGGATGAGGTCTTGATGGATAAATAATTTCGCTCATTTCTCTAATCCAAGCATTTCATGACTCAGATAAAGCATTATCTGGAGGAAAGCTAGTGATTGAAGTGTCTTATTTTGGATGGCACATACACAGTGAGACCCATGACCTTTGTGGAGAAACTACTTGCCCTGTTTCAGTTGGTGATTTCGTCATTGCTCATTCACAAGTTTTACCTGGATTCACTCCACCTGTAAGTCAATGTTTTGTTCATTCCTTGTGCGTATGTTCATGTATTTTGGTGAAAAGAGAAAATATATCTATCTATCTATATAAGTGCAGATTTTCTGCTGATCCAATATCCTGCTAAATCAGGCATTTGGACTTCTCCTACATTCATTGGAACTGAAAAAAAAAACCCTTGTACTCATGTTATGGCATGTAGACATCTTAAGATAGGGATTCAAATATGTTAGAGCACAATTGAGTGTGATGATGGTTCTTAACAAGTTATATTAGTTTGATACCTGGATAGAACTAGTATACTACTTGTTTTATCATTTGGAATTTTTTCCATTGATGTTGATACATGTGGATTGAAGGGTGAGCTCAATATGGTTGACATGAATATTCTCTAGAATGATGCACACTAGCTCCTAAACCAGTATAAAAAGGAAAATTACAGTGTGTTGAAATTTTGTTTATTTTTATCTAAAACATGTTGTTGTTATTAATTTTCAAATTGAAACTTGTTTTTAATCCAGAAATGCAGCAGGAACCATTGTTTTCATCAAGAAAAGTTTGTTATTTTCGTGAATTCTGTATTGAAAACTCCTAGTTCAGTTTCCCATAATATATCTTCTTAAGTGCACATAGCTCTGTGGTTTGACTGTTTTCTGCTAATATCATGAGCTTTCTTGCAGCTCACCTTTCCCTTGGAGAAATTTTGAAGTTAGATTGGGTCCTTGGGGGATGTGATTTATTCACTGATCACTTTTTGTTTTCTTCATGTTATCAGCGTTGAGATTAGACTTGTACTATTTTATGGCATACTAACTGCCTAATTAGTAATTACAAGGGGCTTTGTTAAGGTGTTAAGTTCCTAGTTAGCAGTGTATTATGTTGTTTAGACTGTTTAATTATACTATGTGGTCTCCTTTCTTGTTCAATGCTGATGTATTATTTTTATTTTCAATGCCATAACTCTCACCATGTACTGTATTTGCAGGGTTCATACACTTTGAAGATGAAGATGTTTGATGGAAACCAGCATGAGTTAACTTGCATTACATTTGGTTTTAATATTGGGCTTGGTTCTTCTGTGGCTGATAGTTAATATACATTGGTCGTTGAATTCTATGCTCAGATACAGATCTATATAAAATATTTGTACAAACTGCAAACTACCCTTGTATTATCAAATCCTTCTTCTATAATCCAATAGGACCAGTATCTGGATTAAGAATCAGAAAAATGTCTTGGTACTTTCTGGGATTAGAAAACACAAAATATCTGCTTCATTATTTATTTTCCAATCTCCTGGCTACACACGGAAGGTAGATCATTGTGTAATGTTATCTATTTATTTTGACTATGCTCTGAGGGTGTTATCATGATGTAATAATATATCCGTCCTTAAATGTAAAATATGTGTCCACGTTAATATCTGAAGCTAAGTTTGAACATGTTATCTCATCCTCTTAATAAAATTTAAAAACTGATCTCAAAATCCTAATCCTTGTACGAGTAATGCAGGAAGAAAGAAAGTGGATTTTTGGCCTAATTTAATCTTATAAAAACATTTTGTAAGGTGAGAATTACCCTCATCCATATACAATATTATGGTTATTTCATGTGAAACAGTGTACTATGTTCCAAGCACTTCCAGCTTGATGATTATCAAGGTAAATTTGGTTTAATGTATATCGAAGTAGCATTTATTTCAAATCAAAGGGATTGCATTTTATACCTACGTCTAAAGATCATATAATTACTTGCCCAAGGGTTCCATGTTTGTGGATACGCATTTGGTGAAGGACTTGCAGTTGATTGCAATTTTTAATACACATTTAGTGATAGTTTGCAACAATCTTTTAAGTCTTGCCACTTCATGCGCATGACAAAGTACGTTTTTTTTCTGAAGTACATAAACCATAGCGAGGAAACTTTACGGTCCTGAGAGTTAGAGCTGCATGAGTAAACTCCTTTCTCCAAGATGTTTTATGCAAAAATCGAGTCAAAAACCTTCTTGTGGAGTACTTTTATACACACTCATACATTGGAGAATTAGCATGCTTTCACCAGGCCAAACTCATTTGAGTCATGATAAGTGCATTTAATTGTAGAGAAAGGGTTGTTGATAAGGCCCAAGATCATCATGGATCACTAGAACCACTGGCCCATGAAAAAAAAAGGGGCCCAAAACCATGGATTGTGTATGAGCGGAGGAAGAAGAATGCTGACAAGGCATGAGGGTTATTCGGGGTTGTTAGAGGAAAGAGAGAGAATATTGTGGTATATAGAGAATCACATTTGATAGGCAGGGCAGGCGGTTATTTCCTTTTTACTGTTTGGATAGAGAACCTTGTTGGTTGTGCTATTAGGAGCTTGGCTCTTGGCAGAGGAGATTTCCCTCTTCTGAGTTTTCCTTTCTCACGAATTCCTTACATACAATATCTACCATTATATCAAAAACCATTTTCTAATTCATTTATGGTTTGTTGGTTATTTTGTTTGGTATCTATTAATTGTCATGCACACTCCTGAAAGGGACGAAATTGGGAGGATGACCTTGTGGAGTATGGAGTGGTAAAAAAATGGGGGTGAAAGCTAAATTTTGACTTGGAAAATTTAGAGAAATTTGAGAATAAGATTTCTTGAAACTTAATGAAAGGCAATTTCTAATTTTTAAGGTACTCAATCATTTAATTTTATTCAATATCTAGTTTGAATACAGTGCATGATTTTATTCCTTTGTTTCCCTCAATCAGTTGCCAACAGAGGCATAACATGTACACAAATGGAAATTAATCATGACCGTGGGCACAAAACACTTCGTCTCCATCGCATTGGGCATCATCAGTGGTCCAAGGACACTCTAAAGTAATAGTGGTGCTAAATCTACTCAACCATGTGCAAGATTAAGATTATGGCTGGCAATTTGGCATAGTTCCCCCTTCTAGTAAGTAACTAATGATGGGGAATTTATGCCCATTTCATTGTTTTTAGTTGACAAATATCCGGCATAGTTCATAGTTCAGACCATGATTGAGGCACCAAATGGTAGGTAATGAGTCATGCACTCTGATCAGATAAGGGAGTGAGGGGTCAACCTTGCCCCCACACCATGCATCGATTATTCAAAACTTAATAAAGCATCCCAACATTGCACACCTTCCAATCACCACTTTATAGCCTTTAAAACTTAAAGAGCACTCTCATCTTCAGCCATTCTGTCCTCAATTCAGCATTCTTGTGAGCCATCATTCTCACCTCATCTTTTCTTCACTCCATGAGTTGGTAGCCTCTCCCTCATAATATCACATGCCATCCAGTTTTGAAAAGAATGAAAAGCAGATTCAATAGGAATTTGGAACTCATTCCAACCATTAGCAAACTGAAACAAGGCCTAGTCCTTCAGCTCAACCCACAAGATGTATGCTGCATCAAGAAATGTTCCAATTCACCTATCTATGATGCTCAATATCACAAGGTTGAGCTAGAGATTGGCCTCAATGGAAGTGAAGATCATGATAAGCATCCAGAACAAAAAGAAATGGACATTGAAGTCACACCCTCCAAAGGGACAAAAGAGAAAGAGCTTGTTGAGGAAAAAATAGTGGCTTCTAGTCCTATTAAAAGCATGCAACATATTGAAAGCACCAAAGGGTACCCATCTTTAACAGATTTTGAAGAGATAAATCCACCAGGTGGTGGAAGCCAGGAAGTGATTCTCTACACCACAAGCATGAGAAGCATAAGAAAGACCTTTCAGGACTGCAACACAATACGCTTTTTGCTAAGAAGCTTTAAGATAATGTACCATGAGAGGGATGTTTCTCTACATATGGAATATAGAGAGGAAATGTGGAAGATCTTGGGTGGAAAAGTGATCCCTCCAAAGCTTTTCATCAAGGGGAGGTACATTGGAGGAGCTGATGAAGTGGTGGAATTGCATGAGAAGGGTTGGCTTGGAAAGCTTTTGGATGGAACACCTGTTAACCTTGTTGATGGTCCTTGCAAAGGTTGTGCTTGCATGAAGTTCGCTATTTGCTCCAATTGTAATGGTAGTTGCAAAGTCTTCACCACCAATGGTGGCAACAAAAATGAATGCTTCATCAGGTGTCCTGAATGCAACGAGAATGGACTTGTTAAATGCCTCATTTGCTGTTAGAAGTTGGTCTAACTAAGAGCAAGGTTATGTGTATTTTTCATGTTTCTTATCTTCTGACTTTTGGTTCGTATTTAATGTAATTTCAAAGCGATCTATATTTAGAGTCCTTGAGATGTGGTTAGTAAAACTAATTTATAAGTTGCCTCAAAGTTTTAGAAGTCGAAAAGCTGAAAATTTATATGTTAAATGATTGAATTAAAAGTATTTAGTAAAATTAACTGATATGTTAATTGATTAATGTAAAATAATATATTTATGTATTTGATAATGAGAGAAAAAGAATGACATGTAGTGAAAATGATTTCTAAATTAAAAAGGTAAAATAGATTTCAAGTAATGAGAATAAAAAAGAAAAGAGAAAAATAAAATTAAGAGATTATAAATTATAAGTTGCTTCCTGTTTCAAGTATAGCTTATAAAAATAAGTCATAAGTTTTTAAAATAAACTCTTCAAATGTAATGGACATTGTTTATTTATATGGAAGAGCTGAACTATAAGCTGATGCTGTGCAGGGACATAAAGAAGTTACTTGTTTATGATTAGTTTTGGATATTTATGAATGAAAAACCGTATCTCATGTTTCTATGAGAAAACATATTGAATTTGGGAAGAGGGTTAGTGGTTTTTGAAGCAGAACTTGCGAAAAACTAGTTGATTGTAGTCCTCATCCCAACAAAAGAAAAAGGAATTAGGTGAAGAAAATGGAAGAACAAATTAATAATGGTCATTGATGGTGGTATTGGACACAAGCTCTTTAAAAAGGTTCTCAAATTTGAGTATTATATAATATATATATATATATATATATATATATATA